TTCAGCCCAGTCTCACCGTCCACTGTTGTTCAAGGATTTCTTGCTCGTGTCTCATCGAACATTTCCGTCGGTGGCCGACAACTTTCTGATTGGTTCCGAGTTACAAACTGGAATATAACCGGGCGTCCTGGTTATTTCCAGACCATAAGTGGATTTTCTAAAAATGGGGCCTTTGTTGTTTCCACGACAGGTGTTTACATTGTAACTGTGAATTGGATTCTAAATTGCACAGACATCATTGGATGGTAAGTGCTTCATTATGCTTATTTTCATCTAGTCATATATTAATCAAGCAACAATGATAGACGGCAGAAAAATACGTTCTACGTTTGAAAACCCTTGTTAGATGAAAAAGATATCTATGACAAATGTCGTGAGTGTCAAAAAACTTTTGATACCCTTTTCAGTTGCATAATTATACTGCCAGAACAGGGCAACCTCGTTTCCAGGCTCTTTCTCCTTTCCCATGGGAGCCAAAGGAGAGAGAGCTTGGGATCGAGGTTGGGAACAGGGAGCAAATTTGGGAGATCCCTCATTGGATACGTCATTAGAGACTTTTCTATGACAAGGACGTTCAAATGAAATTTTGCGAATCATTGCGTACAACCAGTTGCAGGTTATGGACCAGCTCTTAACGATATATGAACTTTTAAAAATTCTTTTGGTTTGATAGTGACTTTGAAATGCTAGTGGCTTTTAATGGGAGGCTGTCGTCCAGTTCTGGTTTGTATTCAAGGCAGACTGTCTCTTCTTTAAGTGTTGACACGCTGAACATAATGACCGTAGTTCAACTGTTTAAATGGGATACACTCACAGTAGTTTTGCGCTCGGATACATCCTATGAAATCCTCGAGGACAGCACATTCTCAGTTGTCATGCATGGTAAGTCTGTTGTATTACAAGCTGGAACTCCTTGTGTTTAGGTTGGTGTTTAGGAGGCTGTAATAGAGTCAAAAAATTCTTTCAGTTACTAAAAAGTAATTTCTCTCTCACATGTCTCACATTTTTAAGACAGTGACAAGCCGGAATTCACTATATTTTAGAGAATTGTCATACACCTGAAAAAGTACGGTCAATATCTTTACCAGAGCAAAGACAATTTTCAGAATATTTGTTGTTTTATCAGACTTCATTGTACTTCTAAAATGTGGCACTGTCCTTAAAACCAAAGAAACAAGAATTTCAACATTTGACGTTTTAGTTTTGTGCGTACAGACCGGTAGCAAAGCTGACAAAATGAGACAAGAGTGATAGTCTTACATCGCATATACACAAAAAACACGGTTAAATTTCCCACATATACGTTGATAAGTTCAGTAAATGTAAAGTTGTGTTACCTCCACAAAAAGATTGTTACCTGCTCTCACTATTCACTCTGCGCATCCACTATAGCTTCTGCCGGGGGTCCATTCTTGTGTTCCAACAAGGGTCCTACTCTCATTCAGGAACTGTCGCCTGCTTATCTCCGCGCAAGGGTTGGTAATTCTGTCACGTGGTCATGTGAGGCTGTCGGGGAAAGTTTACCTAAATACCGCTGGTCAAAAGACTACAAGGTGACTTAAAAGATTCATTACATGCACGATGGCTTACCAGTAGTTAACAATTTTATGAGCGGTCTTCATAAAACGGTCTTCTGATATCAAAATGTGCATGCATGTTAGTCTCTATCTGTTGGAAAACAAGAAACACATAAAACCTACCATGTACGATTTCTAATCCCTTCGCCTAGTTGAAAGCGTTAAAGAAAAGTTTATGTCTTTATTTCCTCTTTGAATTGTCTGCATATGTTCACTGATGATCACTAGAGTTACTTATATGATTTAGCCAGAATCTTTAATTTTCTCATCCCTATGAGTGCGATTGTAAGCAGGTCATTTGCCAAATAACATTCTCAAACTCATTTATAATTTATCAAGTTTTAAAAATGAAACCATAACGGTGTTTGGATATCTGATCTTAATTAGCTTAAATTTTTAAGATTTATTTCTCCGTTTTCTACTTAGGTTTAGTTTTGATTGACAAGATATATAAAACACGCAAGACAGTGTTTGACCACATTTCCAAACACCTCGATACTCGTAAAAAAATACTCCACTGCGTGTCGTATTTTGAACTCTCTTCTCGGTGTTTGGAATGTGGTCAAACACGGTCTTTCGTGTTTGATATATTACTTCAATCTTTCTTGTGATGAAGCGATCATATTAAAAACAGCATTTGCAGAAAGCCACACTGATTAAACAAAATACTTTCAAATGGTTTGTTAGGCTTTGCCCAACGTGTCTTCCAACTCCTTAACTATCATCAATGGAACAGTGCAGGACAGTGGAGACTACGCATGCGTTGCTGAGGTGTCTCCTGTATCCGTCAGTTCAAATATTGCACGTTTGACTGTGTACGGTAAGTCCAAAAAGATATATGGAAGATTTAACAAAGCAAAAGGAAAACAGTGGCGGCGGATCGTCAAAAAAAGGACCTGATAATCTCAAAAAAGACGAGTTGTTCTTAAAGTAAATTCTCTTGAAAAAGAAACTTAGAAAATGTTTCAAGAACGGTATAGAGAATTGACATGTATATCTTGTTAACCCAGCAAATACATTAGATTTTCTTTTATCTGCAGAGGGTCTGGAAGGGTATTCTCGGGATCCGGAATTTGTCCAAAATACGGTGCGGGAATCGGGAAAACGATAAATATCTTGACGGGACCTGAGATTTGGCTGCTCCCCGGGAAGCGGGTCTAGCCAAAATTTGGGCAGGGGATGCGCGATTTTTTTCGCCTGTCTGTCGGGAATTTGGGAAATCCTCACGACCTAAATAAATGTACTAGCGGCCAAAGAGAATCAAGCAGGCGAGCGCTAAGTGGTGTCTCCTTTCAAACCAAACTATAGAGTGTGTCTGGTTAATAGTTATCTAATAGTGAAACTGTCAGAGGGCATTTTATTTAAACCAGATGCCAGAAAAGTGCACGTGGTGTAATAGCATACCAGTTATTGACTCGATGCTAAATTGACTCAGTTGTTCAAGCTCTTCAGTCTCTTTACAGGTTCACATTCATTGTGATCTTGAGGGGATTTTTTCAACACCTTAACCGCTAGACGGCCCTAGAAATGGCAAATAGTGATGCCAGCTCTGCTACAGTAAGAGATTTGGTCTCATTTTATCTTGCGACCACCGACGATACTAGTTCCAGCGCCACAACCTCCGCGATCCACAAAGAGAAATTTAATGTTCCGCTAAGCGGTGACGAACACAAAGACCTGTTCAACTTCGCGAAGCACTTAAAAACCTTCACTGGGTTAGCAGAAATCGCTAAGAGTAAAGGCCTCGGAGAAAACCGGGGGGACCGGAGGTCACGATTGCCATATTGACAATAAAGCTGACAGTTACTTGTGGTAATACATTGTTCGTGGCTAGTCTTACGTAGCTCGTTTCATCCCCTCCAAGGGATTTATCAGAGACCTTTCTGCTTGGCAAACTAGTTGGGCATCGCGGCCGAAGTCCCGTTCGCTAACAAAATGATGACAGCAATTTCGCAATATATCGCATAAGGACTCCCGACCGCACAAATAGCCTTTAAAAACACATGTAAATTCAAAAAGGGCCAATCTACATCTTACATTTATTACCTATTGTAGAAATAAGACTTTTTGATGTATTTTTCTGGGAAAGGAAAACGAGATTAGGGATAGTGATGAAAAAAGTGCGGGACGCGGGATTCTCGTGAAAAAGGAGCGGGAACGCGGGATCAGACCCCCCCCCGACCCCCATCTTCCAGACCCTTTCTGCATGGTGTGCAATCCGAAACCCTCTCTACTTTCCTTTTTTGCATCCTTTTGCGTTGTAGTTCTTTCAGCGGATCACTGCTTTTCTGGAAATAACGCTTACGTTTGTGGGAATAATGCAGTTGCCGTATATAAGTCGAGCCAGGTTAACGTGTGAAAAAGGAAACAAATATTTTACGAGGACTATATTTTGGTGAGGATACCAAAATAGGGACATCTTTGTTTGTCCTTTTGCACCCTGCATTTACCGAAGTCCACGTTTGAAGTCATGCGTTTTGAGATCTGTTCCAAGGAAGTTCTACTTGATGGTATAGACCTCATGAATGAATGTCATTGTAAGATTATCAACAACCATCAAAAAGTTCTCCACTTTTGGCAGCCTCTACATTCAGGACTTGATTGTACTCTATGTTCTATTTCAGATCCTCGACCAGCTTTTCAGTCATTAACCTACATGGTATCTGTAAACGAGAACGGGCCGCCACTGCAGCTGATCCTCAACATATCAGTGAGGGCAGAGAGTAAAGAGAAGACTCGGGCGGATATGATATTCAGGATTATTTCAGGTTTGCTTACTGCTGTTAAAATTGTGCACCAGTGAGAACCGCACACCTTAAACAGGCTGATTCCATCGATTGTTTATTTTTGATGCAAATTCCTTTGCTGTAACTCTCTGGTTTTAATTTACTACGCGTAAGGAATGGTGAAATGTGATTGTAAATACAGTACGAATTAAATCAGTGATAATTATCGAATAAAATTTCGGCCTTAACCTTACTCCGCGATTCGTTTCATTCCAGGAAACATAAATGACTCCTTTTTTATTCTTCCAAATGTCTCGTCAACCCATTTTGGAATTTACACGTTTCGTCCATTAAACCGAGAAGAAAAATCTGAATATCAACTACTTGTAAAAGCGACCAATATAGATGAACATGCACCCAACTCCACCACCGCTGTAAGGATCACCGTGGTTGATCAAAACGACAACGCTCCAAGTTTCAACGAGAAAATCTATGACGTCAGTATCCTGGAGAATGTCACTGTTGGCCACGTGTTGCTAGTTCTTTATGGCCAGGATGACGACATGGGAGTCAATGCAAATGTGACCTACTCAATACTGGCTGGATCTGGCATGAATACTTTTAGCTTGAACAAGACATCAGGTATCAATCAATGTATATTAAGCAAGGAAGCCCAGGAAAGCCAATAAGGCTTAGGAATCATGATAAATGATAGTGAGTTACCATTACTCCTTTAGAGCACTTTCTACTGACTGCTAAAGGTAATTTTGTTGTCTGCTTTACTTTTACGTCTCACAAGCTCTCGAACTGGTTAAATAAGTAAGGTGAATGTTCTGACCAATCAGAGCAAACATTCTTTCGTTTCAACCAATCAAGAACAAAACCGCCTAACACCGTTGCATGTTTTTGCCTCGCGGTCTGATTGGTTATTTGATTTGGTTATACTTTGCCCAAGGTAATAAGTTTGGCTAGAGGCTCCGCACAAAAACGTCTTCACAAGTAATCTTGACTCTTTTGATTGTAAAAAGCTAAAAATTTTTACCACGCGATATCCCAATGTTAGAGGGGTGTCACTCATTTGCAGAATTTTCAAACCTCGGAGACATTGCTTATCTTACAAGTCATTTTCCTTCCAATTTTCAGGTGAAATAACTCTGATGAAGACATTAGATCGTGAAACTCAACCCACATATTCACTGTTCATATCCGCCCGCGATCCTGACTTTACAGCTTTCACAGAAGTTCTTATAACAGTGCTTGATGTAAATGAACACAAACCGGTTTTCAACCCACTGAAATACAACGTGACAATTTCTGAGGCGGTAGGTATTGGGAGCTCGGTGTTAAAACTGACTGCTACAGATAAAGATACTGGAAGTAACAGCCAGCTGGTATACTCCATTGTGAAAGGAGACCCCCGCCGTTTGTTTACTGTTGACAGTCATGGCATTGTAATAGTTTCCAAGGAATTAGACTATGAAAAGAACTCAACGCATGATATGAGAGTAGCTGTTCACGATAACGGACAAACACCACTTTTTGCCGACAGACCAGCTCATGTTTTCATTTCTGTGCGAGATTTGAACGACAACCCGCCAATTTTTGAACTCTCCTTGTACGAGGAAACCATTTCAGAGAGCACGTCCCCTGGGACAGCTGTTCTGCGCGTGCGTGCCTTGGATGCTGATTGCTCACACGCTAACAGTAAAATGGTTTTCTCGATTGTGAAAGAAGGATTAGATCATGATTTTGTGGTGAACTCATCTTCAGGTGTTATTTATGTCAATAAACCCCTGGACTTTGAAAGAACGCAGGTTTATCGATTTCAGGTTGCAGTGCAAGATATCAGTATTCATTCACGCCTGGATGTCACTACGGTTGTCATTTCAATTTCTGATGAAAATGACAACTCGCCAGTGTTTAACCCTTCATACTATAACATATCGATATCAGAGGACACAGCTGTTGGAAGAGGGCTACTTAGGATTCAAGCAGTGGATCATGATAGTACAGCGAATGGAGCTCTTACTTACTCCATAGAATCGGGCAATGATCACTCTACTTTCTTCTTGGATGAATCCAAGGGATCGCTTTATTTGGCCACTGAACTTGATCACGAGAATGTGTCAAGTTATCGTTTAATAGTCAGCGTGAAGGATATGGGGGTCCCGTCTCGTAGAGCTGAGGTATCTGCTACAGTCATTATTGCCATCAGTGATGAAAACGACAATCTGCCTCGGTTTAATTCCGAGATTTACACCGCAGCAGTCTTTGAGAACATTACATCTGGGACTTACGTGTGTTCGGTTCATGCTGACGACAAAGATTCTTATTTAAACCAAGAGATTACATATATTATGGCCACTTACAGTGACACAAAGGCTCAGGAAAAATTTACCATGAATAGCGCTACTGGTACAATTTTTACAAAAGAAGACCTCGACAGAGAAGAACAGGAGGTATGCGGAAAGAAGTTGTTTCTCAGAGAGAGACATATAGAAATGGTCAAGGAGTGCTACTGAAATACAAGTTTTGAAAATAGTCGTGATCGATGCATGAGGTGTTCCCTTTCATCTCCAGTTCCGGGATCTCAAATTTAGGTTAGATCAAATCAAATCAAAACAATGTTTATTTGTTTATTTGCCAACTAACTAAAGCTGAGAGAGTATTCTCGTCTAAACCATCACACTAACCCACCAAACGATAATTCACAATCTCAAACTAAGTGTTTTTCGGCCTTATTTAAACATTTCAGTTAATTAAGTAGAACATTAGAACACAAAGAACACCTAACTATTACACTATGTTTCGGGCTGCAGGTCTATGAGTTCACAGTCATTGCAAGGGATGGTGGGAAGGTATCTCTCGAAGGTTACGCGAAAGTGATCGTAACTTTGATTGATGTCAACGACAATCATCCGGTGTTTGAGCCCTCAAAATACCAGGTAACAGTCAGTGAACATACACTGTTGAAGACGACACTGATACATTTGTACGTATGTACAACGGTAAATGGCATATCAGTAAAACAGGAGGCTACGTTATAGTAAATACAACTGACGGGCAGAGTGAATTGCAATTTTGTCGTAACCAAAATGGAGCTGCTTATTCCTCAAAGACACATGACTATAAAAAAGTAAGCGAGTGTTCTGTCTGCATAACGATGACTGCTGATGCAGGATTGCTGTTGCATCATAGTCCGCTGGGCTTGCGGTTATAGATAGCTATAAAGCTATTAAAGTTAAGTATTATTACATTCTTGCGAGACAGAAATTTCATATCAGCGTTACTAGCGGGGAAACATCAATACTTGTGAATTCGTATTGTTATTCGAAACAATGTAGACCTGCAAGGTATTACTTACAAACGTTTACCGTATTATGGATATAAAATTGTTATTGTAAAGGAAAGGAAGTGAAAAATTAATTAGCAGAAGAACTATTCTTTATTTCGTGAGGCCTCTTTTTTAAGGTCACAAAAATTCAACCCAGTGGAGTTTAAACTGATTACTTTCAAGCTTGATATTAAGACTGTTAAGAAAATCAAACCACACTGCCACATTATCTTATCGCTCACTTTTAATAATTGCAATGTACTTCAAACTGTTTTCTCTTTCCCAGTCTTCAATCCAGCTTACAGCGGACGCGTCCATCTCCTCGGCCGTTATAACTTTAACCGCTGATGATCCAGACAGTGGGCCCGGAGGAAAAGTCAATTACTCTATCCTGAGTATCACGGGCTCCATATCTTCAGAGCATAGTAGTGCATTCCGTTGTATCAACGAGTCAAATGGGACTTTTAGAATAGATGAGTATACGGGAACTTTAAGGGTCGCAAGGACGTTAGCAGCGCTCTGTGTTTATAAGGTGACAATTCGTGCAATGGATCATGGCAGCCCTCCGTTGTACAGCGTTATTTCCATAGAAATTGAGACCGGAAATGCCACTGATTTAGGAATCCCTACAACCATTGCGATCGTATCGCAGGAAGGTTTGTTCACACTTTGTCTCATTCATTCATTCATGCATCCATGCATCCATCAATCCATCCGTCCGTCCGTCCGTCCATTCATCCATCCATCTGTCCATTCCGTTCATTCATTCATTCATTCATTCATTCATTCATT